ATTTTGAAGGTTCGCGAATTTATCTTTGCCCCGTTCGCTATTTTAATACGGCGAGAATGCCATTTATTTTTAGATAGTTTATGTAAATTCCTTTCATTTTATCATTGTAATTCAATACAATGACATATAATTCTTACAACTTGTATAGATTTGAAATATATTTTGAAGCGTCGTTGAAATCAATTCATTTTTTTATTATAATAAAATAATTTTTATAATGTTAATTACTTATATTGGAGACTAAAATGGCCCGTCCGTCACTTACTGTTTTTTTTAAATTAACGGTTAGTCTAGATAGTATTATATGTAATTGATTCAATATCATTATATAAAATAGCATGGATATCATAAGGACATCATGCAACATTTTGTCATCATAAATCGCGTGATAAAAATGGTAGAATATTTGGCAAAGGTTTTTTTTTTAAACTTTTGGGGAACTTATTCGGGAAAAATTTTACAAAAACCCTAAACTTAAACACAAAAAACAGATTAGTATGATATCGACGACGATTAATAAATATGTTATATATTATGTGGATTAATCTTTATTTTTTTTATGTATATAGGTTAAAAACTTGAAAGAATTAAGTATAATATTAGTGTTTTTTTTTCCATTTAAAAAAAATGGAGGGGAAATTACTTAAATATTTTAAATAAATGTCGAAAATATTATAATAATAAAAATTAGATTTAGTTGGTTATTAAAATTTATATATATCATCCCATCCAAAGCCCAACTAGAAATTTAAAGTATAAAAATATATTTATTTTTGTAATATTGGCACATTACTGGATGTAAAAAGAGAAAATATATTAAAATATTTCTTAAAAATTCAAAAAAAAAACTTGGGATGTAAGATAAGATTGGGGGGGGGGGAGTGTTAAAAATGAGTTTTAAATGTTCTTATTCGTCACTATATCAATGTTATGTATAGACGTGAGATAAGCAATTTTCTTTTTTTTCCCGTAGATTTACGCGTCTATTTTCTTTCTTTCACGATTCGGGTTAAAAAGCTAGGATTAAACTAATATATTTAAGGTGGGTTTGTGCGGTTTAAAATTTGAAAAAGGATAATTATAATAAAAAAAATAAGCATTTAATTAAAATAATTATAGAAATATAAAATTCACAAAATAAAATTCAAAAAATTTAAAAAGATTAATATTTTTTAAAATGTTGTAAAATTGTAAAACCTATTCTTAAATAATTAATTTTGTAAATAATGTTATGTAATGTAAATGCTAATTTTTCTATCACCCTTTTTTAAAAAAAAATTATTTCTATAGGAATTGAATTTCAAAAGCTAATGTTAGTGTAATTTTAGATTTTGGGGAGAGTACATAGTAAAATAGAAATAATATTATAGCCATTTTTTTATCGTTTATATTTTTATTAGCAAATAATAAAAACGAAAGATAGAGAAGGAAAGAATGAAAGCCATATAACAAAATCTTCAAACTTGCAAGAAAAAGGATTGCCATTTTATTAGTATTTATTAATCTGCTAGATTAAGATTATTTAGCCAATATTTCTCTAATCTCTAGATTTTACTAAAATATCCAAACCTTGGTCGATTTTTGATAACTTCCGATTAAAATTTTAGCAAAAATAATATTTTAAAAGCTTGCAGGTTCTATGAGAAAATCTCCAGGTTTTGGTAATATATTTTTTTTGGCTAAAATAGTGAGTTAGTTATTATTTAAAAATCGGTTAAATTGAGCCGTTTAAACAACCCTAATTATAATATTACACAGTTATATTAGGAACAAAAATGAAATATATTACAATAACTTAATTTATATTTAAAATAAATGAGTAGCGCGGACTTGGGCTTGGTCTATAAAATTAAAAAATATATATTTAACGGACACCAATAATTAATATTTTTTTGATGTTTTGTCATCCGCCGCCCTTATAAAAATAAATTATTTTTATATTTTTATCTGAATAAAATTTTAAAATGTTATGTACCTCTTAAAAAATAATTATTATTTTATAATTAATGTTTTTATTTGATCAAATAATTAAATTATCACCGAACTGTTAATAATTAATAATTTTTTTCAATATACCTATTTACTTAATACAAACGTACCTGTTTGTTTTTCTGTATTTCAAAAAAAAAATTAAAAGGCACAAAAACGAACCCCACATCTAATGACTTTTTAAAAAATTCTAAAATATAATTTACGGTTGCACTTGCGGAAGAAAAGGGAGAAAATCTGTCTATTTGGTTTTTAGTTTCAAGCACTTGAAAAAATGAAAGGAAAAACCGAAAATATAAAATAATTTACGCGGGAAATTTAAAAATTTTTATATTTATTTCTTCTTAAATATTTTCTTCCTTATTCTTTTTCTAATTTATCCGATTTTTTTAAAATTTCTTTCCATTATGATAAATTATAGTTATAAATCACAGCTCGATTTTTAAAAGCGGCCAGATTAAGATTTTAGCAATAATAATATGTAAGCCTCAAGATTTTGCAAATAGAGGTCTAAACCTTTCTTTCATCTACGAGCAAAATTTCCAGTACATTACATCATCTAGGATAAAATCCTAAACGGGCCTTTTTAATCGACCCAATCGGGACATTTAACAACACTAATTGACCAGATTTTTCGTTTTTAACCCTTCGGTCTACATCGTACTTTCATAAAAAAGTATGCGCAATGGGTGGAGAACTAATAGTTTTGACCAGATTACCCGAATGGATGCTTAATATTTTTTTTTACCCTTCTTTAGAAAGAGAAACTGTTTTTTTTAACTATTTTATTTTTGTAGACATGTTTTTTTAAAACTATTTTTACCATTCGTTGTAACTTGCAATTGAAAAAAAAATAAATCATTAATAATTACGTAATTATACCTGTAAAAAAAGTTTTTTAAAAGAAAATTTATTTTTTTTAAAAAAAACCTGTGCAATTTTTTGTTTTGTTTTAAAAATAATTAATGTAATTATTATATGCATATTAATTTAATGAAGCATCTGTAAAATTCTTTTATTTTAAAACAAAATTAAGTTGATGTTGATCATAGTAGACATCTTCAAGTGTGAACCAATTTTTTTTTTCAGGACAATAGAAATGTGACTATTGTTATACACGCATAAAAATGAATATGTCCTAATACATAATTAGTAAAATGCCAACCTCCACCTTGGCTTTTCCAATGACGTTTCTAGAAAATGCTTAAATAAGAATGCCTATTTTTACAATGTCACGCCATCTAAATCCGCTTATAAATTTGGATGGTGTTATTTTTTTTCAATTTTAAAACACTATCATATAAATTTTTTTTTAGAAATTTTCTTCTTTCTAATTATACACAAAATTTATTCCATATAATTAAACATAATTAAAATGACACACTGACACTAGAGGTCTACAATGGGCGGGTTTTTAGCGTATGAGCCCCCAGTCCAATATTTTTAACAAATTTAATCCGCCCGCCCTTTAGTCTAAAATTCTTTACCCTCACGCTCATTAGTCTAAATTTTTATACCCGCCGCCCATTATTTATAAAAAGCAGAAGCACTGGTTGCTGGAAGTGCCAATATTGTAGCTAATCTTGATTGCTTTGATAAATCTTTTTTTTTGTCGGCTCCATCAAAGTAGGATATCCGTTTGAAATATATCCTCTACTCAACTGAGATATTTTAATAAAAAGTGAAACCATTAATAATAAATAAATAAAAGTAATTTAAATTAATTGTTCATAAATCATAAACGTAAACTAAATAATATATTGGTAACAACAACTTGTTATTTTAAGATTTATGTTATTAGGTGATGCTCTCCTCTGTAAAAGCCACTACTTCCCATTTGCTTTTTAATTTTGACGTGGACATTATCTATTTCAAATATTACATTTACAATATAAAAATCTTTAATTGACTCTTTGCTTTTGGGGAAAGGGTTATCAGATTTTCACCCACGTTCAAATTAATTTCTTCCAATAACATTTTCACTTATCGGTACTTTGATATTAAGAATTGAAATTTCAGGGAGCAATTTTAATGTTTAGTTTGTAAATTTTTCCCCAGCATAGTTTAAATATTTTTCTTAACCCGCCCACCAGTTCTTTAAAAAAATATAACCCACCTGCCCAATGCAGACCTCTAACTGACACTGCTATTTATTTTTCTAAAATTATTGTAAATTGCAATATAGATAAACTTCCTTATTTTATTTAATTTTTAAATTTTATTTTAAAAAATAATAATAATTTTTTATAATAATAATTTTTTATTTATTATTATTTTTATATTTTAAGAAAAAATTTTATATATTTTATTTTTAAAAAAATATTAAAATTTTTTAAAAATATTAAAATTTTTTTATTTTATAATTATCTTTTCAAAAATCTTTAATATCTTTATCCGAAATAATAACAAAAATTAAAATTATATTTTAGAAAAAAAAAATTAATTTTAAAAGGCGCCTTCATATTCCATTCTGCTCAATTCTATTCGATTCCCAGTTAAAAATATAAAAAAAATTTTAAAATTTTGATTTTTTTAAAACCCTGTCCGCTCCAGTGGACCATACACAATTTTGATTTTTAATGCCTAATTAGGACTTGATCATTAATTTTAACTAAATTTAGATAAAGTATTATATATTTATAAAATCTTTTGTATAGGAAGGGAATTTTTTTTATAGATGAAGTAAAATTTCCCATCAAAAAAAAGTATTATCTTAAAATAAAGAGGTGAAATAAGTCGCATCTCTATGCTCAAATTTGGCTGGGGTTGGAAAAATCGCTGTTTAGTTATTTAGTATATTTTGTAATTATTTTTATCTTATAACATTTCGTATCTCAAAAAAAAAATTTTTCATTATAATTGTTATGAGTTATGTATGACCTTTTTATAATTTTTATCAAATTTTACATTTTATTTTAATTAAAAAAGAACTATATTTAATATTTATTTTATTGAATATTTTAGATATTAGGAAATTATTAGGATATTTCCCCTTTATCTAAAATTCGTCAATTCGGAATAAAAATGGCACATAATTCTTTGGCATGAACTGGAAATCATTTATCACCTGTATAATAATAATTTTAATATAAAGCTTCCTACCTTTCCTCCTTCGAAATGGAATTCTTGATATTCTTGATGCTATACATCTCAGGTTAGAAATGATTTTTTTCATGATATTTCAATATCAATTTTTAAATATAGAAAGAAAGAAATAAAGAAATTTATAAACCGCTTCCAAATATGCCCCCTTTTTTTAGCGTTTTCATTTTAAAGTCCCAAAAATCCGATTTTGTAATCAATAAGCGGAATTCCGTTTTAGATACTTATGTAAAATCACTTGATATCTTCCAATATTTTTTTACTTCCCCTTGAAACCGTTTACGAAATACGACGGAAAATTATTTCGATTTGAAAATAATGAAATTTTAAGACTTTAAAATGATCCCAGGTCTATAAATTGGTTTAATACTGCTAACGGGTCTCAGATATTTATATATGATTCTGAGGGTGTCTCACTTCTAAACGAATCGAATGGTGCATTATTTGTATCTAAATCTACACATCCTAAGTTGAGCGATTTGCCCAATTTTTTGGAAAGAAAATATTATATAATTTGCTTTCCAAAAGATAGAACCCAAATTTTAAACTTAATTTTTTGTATATCGTTCCATAAAAAATAATTGTAATGGGTAGAATTATAGAAATGTAAGGATGGCATGATTATCCAATAAGAAATTCATAGAATCATCTGATTGATTTATAAACATTCCACGTCTTGCCATGACTCGTTTCCGGATCGCCTTGGGCCTATCACTAAGATGAGAGTACATGGGCTTTACCAGTGGTGTCACAAACCTTTTACAAGGGGGCTCAAAAATTATTTTCAAAATAACCCTTTTTTAGCTAACATTTTTAAAAAACTAAAGCGAAAGAATTTATAATTTCATCAGTATTTAATAGTTTAAATAAAAAATTTTCCATTGATAATATGGTTAAATTATTGAGAAAAAAATCTTTCATGGTACTGCGCAGTCTTGTTTTAATTAATTTAATTTTACTCATGACTCTTTCGGCAGTACACGAGGTTGTGGGAATGGTTAATAAATATTTATATAAAATTCTTAAATTAGGGAAAGCAGAAAAATTTAAAAGTAAACGATAAGGTAAAATAAATGAATAGTTTTTCCAATCTGAATCGTAAGTCCCTGAATTATCATCATCATCAGAAGAAGCTAAATAATGTATTGGTAAAAATATTTTAATTAAATAAATTTACAATTCTCAGAATCTGACAAATCTTTAGATTCTTGAACCTCTAGGTCATGAGTAATAATTACATTCCCCATTTTGGCCATCTTATAAATATTTCTAAACTTCAACATTTCTTCGAAAATTTGACTTGAATTTAAATTGTAAAATTCACAGATATCCTCGATATCTTTAATAATTGATTTTTCTGCCATTCCCTTTGGCGTAAAAAATGATGTTTGATGTAAAAATTTCATTGAATCATTATTAAATCTTTCGTTAAACTGCATAATAATTAAATCGAGTGCTGCATAAAACACACCTATTTTAAAGCTAAAAAAAATTTCTATATTAAATGATGAAAGTATATATATTACCTCTCCTTTTTGGATTGTAATGTTTGAAGTCTAGAACTTTCAAAATCAAAAGGTAGATTTCTCTCCTTCATAAAATCATGCGCCTTTGAAAAAACATCCAAAAATTCAGTGTTATTATCTATTAGATTAAAAAATAATTAAGACAATAATTTATATTATACATCTCAAATTAATCAAGCAATCTTTTGCCAATTGAATTTGATTTATTGCATACCTATCCTTCGAAATGGTTTGCAATTTTGTACAAGCCAAACTTGTTATCAACAATCTTTTATCCAAAATACAAAGTGATAAGATAAAATCAAATTTTTTTATTCTAAAGACTATAGCACTAGCCATAGTGGAAGTGGCAGGATCTTCAGAATCCTTTAAATTTGTTAAACTCAAGGCATCATAAAGTTGAAAAAAATTTACAATAGCATTATATGACGATAGCCAGCTTCTAAATAAAAAAAATATTTAAAATTTAAATTAATAAGGAACTATTACCGAGTGGTATTCTTGACGCGTAGAAATTGCGATTTTTTCAGATCATTACACTGAAATTTTTTGAGTACCTCATATCTTTTTACACCATTAAAATAGACATAAATCTCATCTAGTATTCCTAGAACATTTCGAAGTTTTTTAATTGATTGGCATAATTGAACAACGATTAAATTTAATCGATGACAATAACACCAAATAAAAGCTGCCTTTGGCGCCTCTGCTCTAAACAAGGCTTGCACACCATTGATTCTTCCACTCTTGTTTGAGGCGCCATCATAACTTTGCCCAACTAGATATTCAAGGGGTAAATTCATCGAGCCAAGTTTGGATATTATATTATACTTTATATCGAGACCTGTGGTATTTCCCGTACAATATATGTCAATCAGTCTTTCAACAGGCTTCGGCGTCTCACTATTTTCAACATATACTATCATAGCTATTGCTTCTGATTTCGAAACATCGTATGTGCCATCAACTATGATTGAAAAGCACCTGTTAAATGTAATCCCATTTTGAATTTTTTTTATAACTATATTTTTCATGGTTTCAATGAGAATGTTTATGTTATTTTATTATATGATAATAGGTTTGAATATAATTTCGTTTTTAATCCCTTATTTTTTTATCCTTTTTTCTTTCTTCATTTTGCTGTATATACATTTTTAGTATAGGTTCAGAATCTGCAATAAGCTTAATAAGGGCCATCATATTGCCTTCTTGTTGCCTGTTCCCCCAGAAGGCTTGGTTACGAGATATTAAATAAAATTTACTAAACATCGACCAAAATTTCCGTCAATATTTTAAATTAAATATTAAGTGGTGGGGGGGGGGGTCTTATTATTACATTTATAAACCAGAAATCACATGATCATGATGGATGTAAAAAAAAATTTTTTAATTTTAAAAAAATAAGTACCCCCACTTAAATTTACTGAAGCAGTTGCTTCGGACCCCCCCCCCCCGTTGTAGGGGCCCCTGCCTCTAGTGATGCTACTGCTTTACTCTGCATTCACAGTTAGCGCAGATTCACGGCAAAGTATACAAATTCCCTCCCTCTTTTAGTTTCTTACTAATTGAAAGAGCTAATGGGAAAATGAGAGCATGTGGATAAAGGGCTTGTCTGAAAAAAAAATGGATTTAACGAATAAATTTAATTGCAATATTTTTTAAATTATAAAATCTTTATAATCTATTTAAATTTGACCCCCTCCCCCCCCCCTATGTTCGAAAGCTCATATTTTTTTAAAAACTTTACTTCTGGTTAGCAATAATCTATTAAAATAAAACTGTCCCACTCAATTGAAACATAAGAAGAAAAAAAAAACCATTAGGATCAAAATATTAAATGTCATTTTTTTAATATTTTAAATATAAAATTTTCCATTAAGATTTTTGAAGCTTTTAACGAGGAGTTAGCAGCATTTATTTTTTTTAAAAAAAATTACATAAAACAATTACGAATTTATAATTTTTATTTTGAAAGAGGGAATCAAAAATTAAATTAAAAAATATTTAGGGGTAGATAAAAGAAAATGGAAAGAAAAAGGCGGAAATAAAAGAATAAAAAATAGATAAATTATAATTTATAGCCTGGATAAATATCTACCTCACAGAATGAAAATTTTGAAAAACATTGTTTTTTTTTGCTTTTTATTTATGCCATTAATACAGGGTTGCTAAAAAGCCTACCAGGTTTTGATCAAGTATGGCAAAAAGATTTGGACCTCTATTTGTCAAATCTTGAGGCCTGCATAATATAATTTTGGCTAACAAACAAATTGCCGTTTTATAAAATTGACTCGAATCAGGGTTTTTAACAAACCTACTTATATATAAGCGTGAATTATAATTTAAAGAGTATTATTTAATTATTAACATAATAAATTCTAAGTAATATTCCCTTAAGCCTTCCATTTATTATTACAAATTTATATCTTACTATAGTTATTATTCCCTAATTCATGTTCGAATAAGCTGCTTATTCACGAATCCCATTATAAAAATGACAAAACCTATAATTTATTAGCGTATAAGAAAAAGATTATGTGGAAAATAGAATAAATATATGAACGAATTATAAACAATTTTGTAAAATGCGGCGCTCACCCAAAAGTAAAATAGTTTTAGTTATGGCTCTCTCAAAATACAATTTAGTTCTAATTATAATTCAAAAATAATTGACCAATATAAATTTTTTTAATTCTATTTAAATATTCGGGACGGCAAAATAAAATTTCGGGTGGGCAACACAACATTTTGTTTTCAGGCCCCACTTGAAGTTTGCACATTTTATAATGTTTACAATTAGGCAAAATTATGTCTTTTCCTCATAAAAAACTATTTACCGGCCCTTTTATTCTTTTTAACGTGTTTAGTTTGGTTTTTACTAGTGTTGTTGAACGGCTCATTTTGAGCCGATTTTTAAAAACGGCTAACTCAATATTTTAGCCAAAGAAATATTGCCTAAGACTCCAGATTTCGCTAATAGATGTCTAGACCTTTGTGCCATCAATGAGCAAAATCTTCAGGCTTGAGTAATATTTTTCTGGATAAAATATTGAGTTAGCTGTTTTAAAAACGGCTCAAATCGAGCCGTTTAACAACACTAGTTTTTACCCTTCAAGAGTAAAAGCGAGGTATATGTTAGCCTACAGTTATTTATATCGTTATAAAACATAGTACATATATTATACAGACCTGTTCTTTCCCCCGTTAGTTTAATATTTTAAATAAAGTATTTTTCCCAAATTGTATAATTTTCGAATGAGTAGTTTTTAAGATATTCACAATTTTTTTAAACCTTGGAACAAAAAAGTTTTTCTACCATAGGGGACACTGGGGTTATATCATCCATATAAAATTGAGGATCTATAAAAAATAGATGAAGCAAATTTTCCAAAATGTTTAATAGTTTTCTTCTAACATATATCTCTACGGTAGAATTTTCGTTTTTGAATTGATATCAAATTTAAAAATATGAAAATTTAAGAATTATGTTACTTTAGATGTGTTAAAATTTAAATTTAAAACTTTT